CCAGACAAACACAACTACATGCGATGTTCTGTTTCATGGATAAAGTTAACAGCTCACTTGTCGGTTGTCACTGCAGAAGGGGTTACTCATTCTAGACAATATAAATATAATGATGTGTGTGTGTGTTGGGGGGTTTACATTTTTGAGTCTTGGTTAAGGAATCTGATAATCAAAGTCCAAAGATAACGACAGGGTTAGCTTCAGAGTTTAGAGTATTCCATGTAGTAAAAAAAAAGGATAAAGAAAAAAGATCAAATCACGTTCAAATGCAGTGAATGTGTGAGTGACTCACTTTGAAGTTTTTAACCGAGGTATCAAAGCCTTTTTATGATAAAAGGAGAACTCTACTTTCCGCTAAGCCAATTCACAATGCACAATGAAGTAAGACATGCATGCATGTAAAACTGCAAAGTAGACCAATATAAAAGTGGAGTCTCTGCTTCCTTTTATCACTTTCCACGTTGTTTTCCACTCATTTCAAGCTTTCACACCCCGCTAAGGAAGCTAATTAAACATGTTATCTTAACCACCATGTCCCTTTATATATGCTATCTAACATCGATGTTTATAATAGATTGATAATAATAACATGCCATTATGAGTAACCCAGAAGCTGTTCCAAGCTCTAGTTCATGGCAATCCTCTGGATCTATTGGTCCATTCTTTGCTGTGATGTCAGTGCTTATGGTTCTCTCTGTCCTTTCTTGCTATTTGGGTCGCAGGTGGAATCGAAAGGCAACAACTCCATTGGAGATTATCAAAGGCAGGGGCTACTTTGGGTGGATAAAGCGCATGTGTAGTACTGAGTGTATTGCCAAAGATGTTGAAGTTGGGGGCGTTGGAGCGAAGGTAATGGTTTGTGACCAATTAGAGATAAATGATTGTAATGTCAAAGATGGTGAGATTGGTCAACAAAACCCAACCCAGGTTTGATGTGGGAATCTATATAGCTAGCTAGTCCACACATTCTAGGCAATTTAATTTTAACCATATATCTATATGTCAGCTATATTAATTATTGTATACTGTAAGATAACGGTTCAAATAAATATGGATTTTTGTGGGATGGTATTAGGGATAGATTATTCTACCTATTATTTTTTTTCTGTCTACCTTTGCTTACCACTCTCCCGTACCTTTAGATCAGAATCTTAATTAATATTTATCTTTCTCTCTCTTCTTTAGATTCTGATTTAACGGTATCGGAGAGTGATAGACAAAGATCTAACGATATCGGAGAGTGGTAAGCAAAGATCTAACGGCATTGAAGAGTAAGATAAACAGAAAAAAATGATAAGAAAAATAACCTATGACATGTTATTATCACTTAGGTGGATATATCTAACTTTGCTAACTCCAGTTGCATTTGTACGCTTCTTTTACTGAATAAGTTTAAATAGAAAATGGTCTCATCGGTAAGAATAGGTGAGTCATTTAGGAGAATAACTTATCATGTTGTATGATAAGTTTTCTCTCTTCCTCCGTAGAAAAGAAAATGGAGAGAGAAAGTAAAATGAGAAAAGAGAAAATAAAATATGCAGACTCCACTTCTCATATGTGTCTGTAGGAAAGTTAAACTTTTTTCCTATAACATGATACATATATAATCCCATTTAGATATATACCAACAATAACAATAATGCCTTTAAATGCTTCCAATAAGTAGTCCGAAAATTTGTCTTTTCTTATTTCTTCCCTGTCTCGTGAATAGGGGTATGCAAAAAAACTAGTGCACTTATCTTATCCTTGATCCGACCTTGATCTGACCCATTATTAGCTATATTTTTTGAACTGGTTCAAATACTGACCCACTTTTATTTGGGCCAGTTTTAGACCTGACTTGTTTTAATATTGACTCATTGACCCAAAACATGACACATACCCATTATGTGAAAAAAATAAAAAAATCACAACTACATTAAAAGAAAAGTTTTAACGTAAAATAATTACGTTAAAATTTTTTACGAAAAATATTTCCATAAAATATTTTCGCAAACATTTTTTACGAAAAATATTTTCATCAAAAATTTTTGTAAAAAAATTTGACGGAATATTTTTTTTGTCAAATTTTTTTACAGAATCTAAATTTCGTCAAAATATTTCACAAAAATTCTTTACACATTTCAAATTTCGGCGGAAGTTTTCGACAAAAAATTTTTTGTTAAACTTTTTGACAAAAAAAAATTTCGTTGAAATTTTTACCGAAACACATTTCTATCGAAAATTTTCGACTAAATATTTTCGTCAAGTTTTTTGATAAAAAATATTTCCATCAAAAAAATTTACGGAACACATTTCAATAAAAAATTTTCGTAAAATTTTTTGACAAAAATATTATGTCAAAATTCTTTAGAGAATCTAAATTTCGTCGAAATTTTCGAATGAAACATTTCCTTCAAAACAATTTCCATCGAAAATTTCGACGAAACACATTTTCCTCAAAAAATTTCATCAAAATTCGTTACAGATTTCAAATTTCGGCGAAAGTTTTTAACGAAAAAACTTTTGTTAAATTTTTCGACAAAAAAAAATAATTCGTCGAAATTTTTAGCGAAACACATTTCCATAAAAAAATTTCAACTAAATATTTCCGTCAAATTTTTTGATAAAAAATATTTCCATCAAAATTTTCAACGGAATACATCTCTGTAAAAAAATTTCGTAAATTTTTTTGACAAAAAGTATTTCGATAAAAAATTTTGACGGAAAAAATATTCTGTCAAAATTCTTTAGAAAATCTAAATTTCGTCGAAAGTTTCGAATGAAACATTTCTCTCGAAACAATTTCCGCTGAAATTTTCGTCAGAACACATTCCCATCTAAATTTTGAACGAAAAACATTCCATCAAAATTTTTGACAGAATTCTTTTTTCGGTTAAAACATTTGATGGAAGAAATCATTTTCGTCAAAACTTTTAACGGAAACTAAATTTTGATAGAAAATTTATTTTTGTAAAAATTTTCTTTAGAGAAAAAATTTCGTTGCTTTTCGACAAAAAGTATTCCGACAAAAAAATAATTTTGTGACGAAATTTTTCTTCTCATGCAACGTAGATATTTCGACGAAATTTTGTGAGGAAACCAAGTCAAAAACGGGTTAGGTCAAATTTGACCCAGATCAGAAATCAAGTCAGACCCAGATCAGAAACCAAGTCAGGTCAGATCCGACTCGATTCTGAATTAGTTCAACAAAATTCAAACCAAGTCAAACCTGACTTGGATCAAATTAAAGCGAGTCGAGTGATCAAAATACCTGATCTATAAAAAACAAGTTGGATCGAGTCGGACAAAAACCTAACCCTACCTGACCCGTTCACAGCCCTACCCGTGAAGGTGATGGCTGAGAACAAGATATAACCATCGCTTTCTCACAAAAAAAGAAGAAGATGAAATTAAGAATAGCAATTTCACTACAAGAAAAAAATTTATTTGTGAAATTTTTTTATGAAATTTCGTCACAAATTTCTAATTCGCAAGTTTATTTGTGACGAAATTTAATTAGTTGTGTCAAAAATTATCATTTGTGACAAAATTTATGACAAAATTTTTCGTCACAAATAAACTTTTTTCTTGTAGTGTTTGTTTCGTTGTATCTGGAGTCTGGACTCTGAACTACTTGGTGTTTTGTGAAAGAACATTAGTATTATCTTATCTCTGTCTTCGTACATGATGTACCTTCCTTCCTACAATAATTGTGGAGATTTCAATGAATGATCCGTTACTAACAAAAAATCGAGTATGAAGACAAAGCCACCTTGATTTAGCTGTAGCCTATGGCCGATAGGGAGAGAGCATCACATGGTTGATGACTGATGAAGTGTCATGAGTTGTGTCGCTTTCATACAATATTGTAGTACAACTATTTAATATTCATTACTCGGTCAACCCCGAAACTAAATTACAGAAGACCTAATTAACAGGAACTTCTAGCACACTCTTCTTACGGTTTGAAATCTTCTTACCATTTTATGTGATACTTAATATCAATTCTATATTATGATACAATTTGTTTCATGTAACACATAAAAAAAATTTAATGAGTGTGACCCGTTAAGACAAAGAGAGAAACATATTTTATTTTATTTTTTTGATAACATTAAGGGCGAAACCCCAAACATATTTCTTTTTAATACTACATAAACGTTTTTGTTAGTCATTAATTTGAATTTTTTTTTCCTCCATCTATATATATACAAGCTAAGCCCAAGGCCCAAAAAACGGAAACGCTACTGGCAATCAAGCACATTTTTTCGTAAAACAAAATTGTCAATAATCCCTTGAAGATTAAATGACGATATATTAGACGACCATTACGATTTGATTAGCATATTATAACGGTTCATCTGATCATATCAATTGAAATGGATTAGCAAATTAAAACTGCCAACTCATGACGTTTGTTGGCTAATACAATCCAATATGAATTTCAGTAAGCCAATTTAATAAAGTTGACCTCTGTGTACATTCTTCCAAATTGTCTACAATGGAATTTGAAAATCTCCAATATACATTGTCAAAACTTACATTTTTTACTCTCTTTTTTTTAATGGGTTTAATGTTTCTAAGTTATTTACATTCGTTCCCAAAACGATAAAATGATTATTACTAATGTTAATCATTACCCTTTTAAAATCGTAAAATGATCCCAAAATCACGAGGATACCAATTACCATGATTAAATTAGTACTAAGAATCTAAGACGACAATGCCTGTGAGTTTCCTAGAAGGCACACACACAAAAAAACCTCTTCAGTGTAACCCTATGCATATTATATAATCTTATTACCTGTCTTTATACGCGCTTTCAGTTCCCACACACTACCCCTAAAATAAGCCACACCTCCTCCTCCCTCTCCTCCTTCTCTTCCCAGCACATTAGTAATTCCTTTCTTTGCATTGCAAATTTGCTAATTACAAGTACATTTTCTTTTTGGTGTGTGCATATTGTGCTCATACATTGTTGCTCATTATTATTTTGTACATTATATTGATACCACAATATGTCAAAGCTTCAAGTTCAACAACTGAATCAATTAAGGGAGATCTTTGCTCGATTTGACATGGACTCAGATGGTAGCCTAACCATGTTAGAGCTAGCAGCACTTCTTCGGTCACTGGGACTAAAACCCTCAGGTGACCAAATCCAAGTGCTATTAGCCAACATGGACTCAAATGGCAATGGCACTGTGGAGTTTGATGAATTGGTTAAGACCATATTGCCTGAAATGAATTCTCAGGTATTGGTGAATCAAGAACAGCTCCTAGGTGTCTTCAAGTGCTTTGATCGTGATGGTAATGGTTATATATCAGCAGCAGAGTTGGCTGGTGCAATGGCTAAAATGGGTCAACCCCTCACATATAAAGAGCTCACTGAGATGATCAAAGAGGCTGATACAGATGGTGATGGTGTTATTAGTTTCAATGAGTTTGCCACCATAATGGCTCGCTCTGCCACTGATTTCTTAGGCCTTGATTTATGATGACAGGAAATTAGAGTGCAGAAAACATATTCATTTTAGTAACTTGTAGATTCTTTTGTTTTTCCTTGTTTAGTTGGATATGTAGCATGTACTAGAATGATTTGGTTTTATATTGAATTGTTAGAAGAGTAAATTAGCTATTAATGTGCACATATCCTATTGAGTTACAGTTTTAGGTTACATGTCCCTGTATTTTTCTTTTCAATATAAAACTTGATTGCATTTGAATCCTTTCCTACATGATGGTCGATCCTTGATGTTACCCATTCCTGATAGGAAATTTAAAACTAATAGTCCCACTTTTCATAATACACGAGAAGAAGTTGAATTATTTGATGTAATTATATACAAGCATATTCCAATAAAGCAGTTTTTCTTTTAGGGGGGGGGGGGGGGGGGGGGCAACATGTTAAGTAAGCCTTGTTTCAATTCAGATTGGTTGTGTACAAAAGATCTCCAGAAGAAAGATAAAAAGAGCCTATTCTGCATTTGACATCAGTGTCACAATTTATCAGCTTATGTTAATAGAACTATTCCTACTGTTTATTCTTCTTCTTATCTGGTCACGGCCTGTTAGGAATATTTGAAGTCCTTATTAATAGAAGTTTGTTTTGCTTTTACTTTAGTACATAGAAATTATCAGAAGTTGAATATTAACAAACTTTTGCATGTGGGGCACTTTGTCAAATGCAGAAAAAAGATCTCCAGAAGAAAGGGGGAAAAAAAAGAGAGCCTATTTTGCATTTGACATCAGTGTCACAATTTAACAGCTTATTTTAATAGAACTAATCCTACTGTATCTAGTGGTTGGAGTATTAGCTCTATAAAAAAGGAGCATATTATTGAGTAAATGTACCGATTTGAAAATAAATAAAAGTATTCTATTTCTCATCCTTCTCTTCCTTTATCTAAGAGCCTTAATGTATGACAAAGCTTACCTCGTTTCAAATTCTTACCTCGATTTTGGCCCTTTATAAAGCCAGAAGATCCTCTGTGCCTTAGAACTTATAAGATTTTCTGTAATAGTACTTGGCCAATGATGGCAAGGCAAACATAAGCAGAAGATTACGAAGTAAGCAGGAACTGAGATAAGAGCCGATTAGGAATTATTGATTTTTAACTAGCAAAGTTCTCACAAAGACAAGCTAGGATCAAATGCCACTAGACTTGTACCATGAAAGAATGAATCAAAATAAACAGATTATTCTTCTATCCTACAATGAATCATATAGTAACATACATTGTTGACCATAACCTTCTCTCTGATCTTGAAGCAGCCAGATTTTATCATTAGTATGTACAAACAGAAGAAGGTTGTAACCTATGAAAAAATTAGAACCTATGTTTTGACAAATGAATTTTACATCCAATAGGGGAAAAGAACACAAAATCAAAAAAACCTTTCTGGTTATCGGTTCCTAGATATCCCATCAAAAGCTACGGATGCTTCAGAACGTTTGGATGCTTCAAATCTTTTGGATGCCTCGAAACGTTTGGATGCTTCCAAACGAGCTGTGAATCCAACTGTTGTGTGTCTTATTGATCTTTGCCTTACCACATTGCAGTATTCTGGATCACTTGTGCTCCCCTCGTTTCTTATCCACTGTATCATCTGATGATACATAGGGAAGAAACGCATTTGGATGGAAGCATAGGTGAAATATGGAAGGAGGGAAGCAATAAGAACAAGCAAAGTGATGAACCAGTAAGATGGGGCTGGTGCACAAGCTTCAATGAAGACCTTATATGCAGTTGTTGAGAAGCTGGAGCTCATGGCTCCATATGCTAGGAGGAATATATACCAGAATAGAATGCTTCCCCATATGAATATATGTTGTATATAAGTGAAGTAACTTATAGATAATGCCATTTGACAATTCACCACCCACACAACACAAGTGTACATGGTAGCACCAAAAACTTCCAACTCAACAGCTTGCCCACCTTCACGAAATGCTTGATGCTCCATAGCACGAATGCAAAAGAAGAATATAATGGCAGAAGTCAAAACCCCATTGAACGCCCAACCAAGGATTCTTTTCCAGCTAAATAGGATATTTTGCACACCTTCTTGATATAATAATGGAAACTGAAAAAAATGAACAGAAATGAAAGATTTCATGAGAAGAAAACAATCAGGTGGTCTATATTCTCTCGAGGAAACTAAATTTCAAACTGTTTTTCATCACAAAGCTACTGAGTTTGAAGGCCTACCTTGAGACATAATTTAGAAGAGACATCCTGGTCAAACACTCCCAAAGCAATTACAGGAAGCGAAGTGAAGAATACATTATATAAAGACATGAACCAATCATTGTATGCAGGTTGCCCTGAGAATGAGGCATACATCTCAAAGAAGAATAGAGTGAAGCCGAAGGCAATATTCTTGTAAAAGAAGTAGCAGATCTGCCAAACAAAAAGTGAAGTTTGTTACAAACTAAGAATAGTTTTATTTTTAATCTTAGTTGCACTTAAACTTTGCAATAAGTCACAGATAAGTATAAATATATGTAAAATGGAAAATCTTATAATATTATCTATAACATGTGAAGAGAAGACAAGATTATTACCATTGAAGAGATCCTTCTGTAACACCAATGTCCATGCACAAGAAGTAAGCGCTCTAGAAACCGAAATTGGGCAATTGCGATATCACTCGACATAACTGCCTGAAAGTTTTAATGAAGAAAAGAAGTAAGAAATCAAGACACAAAAAAAAATAAAAACAAAACAAATTCAAGATCATAATTACAGAAAGACTAGAGAGCAAAAAAAAGAAAAAAGAAAGAAACTATAGGCAGGATAATGTAGATTTACCTGCATTCCTTCGACACCACTGATACCAATCCCAATGTCTGCTTCTTGGAGCATTCCAACATCATTTGCCCCATCTCCAATAGCTAGAGTTGTACTACCAGTTCTTGACTTAACCAGTCTTGTAACCTGCATTATTATGATAGAAGTCCTTTAGAGACTGAGCATGTGGAAATCACCAAAGGAGGAGACTATGATTTTCTCTTTAGCATATTAATTTTGCAGTAAACGTCTCTTTGCCACATTGGCCATCATAAAATTCAAGAAAAAAAAGAATTTACTTTCATTTAATTTCAAGTAAGACACTAAGTCTAGCTGTAACATAATAATAATAAAAGAAAATTTTGTGCAATCTGAACTTTTATATATAAAGAAAGAAAGGACGAATACATAGATGGATAACAAAGTAACAAGGAAAACTTACAAGTGCCTTCTGCTTGGGAGATGAACGACAGCATATAACAGATGCACAGCCAATGGCAAGTTCAAGAAACAAGTCCTTTACATCATCTTCTAGTGCATAAGTAAGAGACTTCCCATCAATGATCAGAGCTAACGCCTCAAAGTTTTCATCTGATGTAGAAAGTAAAGCCTTTGCCTCCCTTATTTGACGAAGAACACTAGCCTTAATTGCCTGAAGAATGAGAAAGATTCCATCAAAATCAAGTTAATTCGAAGCAAGACTATCAACACATATTAAGCAATAAAAACACCAAGAGAACCTCTCTCGTGCAACATGCTATCTAATTGATACGTGTTGTACATGGGCTAGAACTGCTATATATTCAGTTTTGTTAGTCCCTCTCCCTAATGCAGTTTAATTCATATATGTGGTACATGGGCTACAAGTTCTGTTTTGCAAGTCCTTGCTGTAACTCTGTAAAATCTTAATCTCATGACATCCAAAAAGGCCACTAATATCAATTTTAATGCCTCTTGACAGAAATTAAGGGTCAAAGTTAAGGTTTACCGCTTCCGCAGCAGACTTGTCCTCCATTTTCTCTAGTGATTTATTTTCTGGAGTATCCGAGTTAATTATAATTTGTTTCATTCCCTGTCTGAGTAAACTACAAGCAAATCTGCAGCCAAAGAGAAATTACCAAATCAGTGACATCATATTATGACTACATACAATTTAAAAATTTATAGATAATCTTTGAACTTACCCAATATTAATTGCTGTCTCCATTTTATCCCCAGTCAAAACCCATAGCTTGATCCCAGCCTGTGCTAGCTTGTCAATGCATTCAGGAACCTGTACAACACGAACTGATTCATAAGAACACAAGATATAGAACTGTTGTCATAAGTTCTTATGATAGAATAAGGCAATGCTAATTTCCAAATACACAAATAATTACTTGAAAAAGTGAAAAGGTACTAGCTCTGCTGATTAGTATAGTATTTTCAAGTATCGGATCACATAATTGTAATAGGTAGTAAGGTACCATGAACACTCTAGCATAAAAAGAGAGCAAGCCCTTGTTTCCCTTTGCTTTCAGAAAGAAAAACAGTATTTATAACATACCCCATCTTGTAGTTTGTCTTCAACGGCAGTAGCACCTAGAAGAATTAAATCCTTCTCAATATTTTCTAGTATTTCCTCTACAATCTGCTCCTGGTCTGCACTCACTAAGTTCTTGGCCTCTGTTAACTCTTTATTAAATTTATTGTACTCTTCCTCCTGAAGTTCACGATATGCAAGTATCAAGGTCCTCAGACCAGAATCAGCATATTCACTAATGTGCTGCTTAGTCTTCTCTTCAAACTCCCTTCCATTCTTTGCAACTCGTTCAAACATGACACTGATTGCGAAAGCCAAAAAGAAACACAATTTAATATTTTGAACTTCTAAAACAAATCGAATGATGCTCAACAGGTCAAGGGACTTAGTAGAACATAGTCAGAAATTGAGATGTACTGACAATACTTAATTATGATTGGAAAGGCATCTCAAAAGGCAATGTGAAAAAAACATGGGTTGTTTGCTTCACAAAGGAAACTAGTATTGCCCTTATCAAATATAGGATCATAGGATATTGGCAAGGAACTAATTAGGGAGAATTAGAATGTTCAAATTGCCGCCTTAAAACTTAATACAACTCTTTTGAACAAAAAAGTTTGCAACTAAATATTGAGAATAGACTTCTCTAGAGAAAAATATGCGTACAAGGTACCACATTTAATCCTTAATATGTAAGATTTAAGAGTAAAGCACAATATTACAGACCTGTCAGCGCCTTTGCTTAGTAGTAGTAGTTTCCCCTCCTCATCTCTTACAATTACAGACATCCTCTTTCTTGCACTACTAAACTCTAATATATTTAAAAGTTTGTAGGACCTGCAAAAGTGAAATTATATGCTGCTTTTAATACATAACACAAGTTTAAGTTGCAGATATCTATACAAGACAGTAGATAATTAAGCCTTCATATACAAGAACGATAAACTGACCTTTTGGTTTTGTTGCCTGTTCTGGGGTCTAATTCATGCAGTGAAATAGTTGTATGTGTCCGTTCATAAAATTCAAACCCAAGTTCTCTGGCTGCAATCACAAAAGCTGCCTCATCTGGTGATTCAGCTTCATATGAAACCTTACCAGTTTCCTCATCAACTTCAGGCACTGCAGTATGGCATACAGCCAGCAACCTTAGGGAGTTTTGGATTACATTGGCATTGGGTTGTCTGACCCAATTTCCGTTCATGATCCTTTCGTCCATAAAGTTAAACCCTTTAATGGATGACTTTGGTTGAACAAACTTTGCTTTGTTGAATTCAACTTTTCTCCCAGATAGAGCTCTCTCAACTTCTGTAACTCCTCGTCCATAAGCAGTCCCAGCAATAGAACATTTGATAAATTCCATAGAATTGCAAGTCAAAGTTCCTGTTTTATCTGAAAGTATGGTATCAACTTGGCCAAGTTCTTCATTCAAATTTGATGTACGAGCACGTGCTGGCTTGTCAGTTTCCTCATAATACATTTGCACATCCTGGTTGATGAAAATGCTTTGAAGAACTTTCACAATTTCAATGGAGACATACAAGGAAATTGGAATCAAGTAACCATACAACATAAGTGCCGTCAAGAAATGCAGGATTGCTGCAACTGCTGCTTTATTTGGGTCATAGTAAATTGTGGTATCATCAGGTCTAAGGTACCATCTCTTCATTCTTCCATTTTTAATGTCCTTCTTTGTTGAAATTCCAAATAATATGGACCCAATGAAAGAAATCAAAATAAGGACAAAGAACAGACAGTAGATAATCTTATCCATTCGTTTCTCAATTTTGCTTCTCTTGGATGGAGGATCTGTTGAATTCTGCATAACCTTTGTATCATGACCAGTAAAGATTACCACACCATAGATAAAATCTGTGTTCCTCAGCTTAGAGTCCCTAAGCAGTAGCTGCTGAGGTGCAAGAGGATACTGTTGATCCTCAAGCTCAAGACTTCCTTTAAAGGTGTACAAATTTGCATTTGGATCTTCACATATAATAACAGCCTTGAAATTTTGAAAGCTTGAGTCTTCTTGCAACTTTGAAGTTCCTTCCAGCGCTTGTTTTAGTTTAAGATTTGTTTCTCCATCAAGGTTCATGGTCTCAACATAGCAAATAGCATCGTCATAGTTTGATGAAAGTAAGATGAGATCAGCAGGAAAAAATTCATCTTTTTCCACCTTCACTATGTCTCCAACTTTCAAATCCCTCCATTTAGAATTGTCAAAAACACCACCTCCACGATGTACTTTAACTTTTCTGTTATTCATCTCTATATCCTGTTGAAATTATAAAACAATATCATTGACCTAGGAATAATCAAGAGTAACAGAATAAGTAATCAAGTAAGGGGGTTTACTTTTAAGGAAAGAACTAAGTTTACTAACACCAACACAACACTATTAACTATTTTTCTAAGAATTTTCTGCACATGCTAAGATGAAAAAAGACATCTAAACAATACACTCCTAATATTCCTAAAATGAGTTTAGTGAAGAAACCACTTTGCCCCTCAAAGTTTCCTTACCCTTATCAGAGATTTCCAAACCAATTATTAAAGGTTATATTCAATACATCTGTAAAGCAATACTTTAGCAATGTTCTAGTCTGGTGATAATGCAATGAAAATATGGAGCAAAAATGCTTATATTTCATAACTTTTTCTATCACAATTTACATAAGAGAAAACCATAACAACACATTACCTGTTTTTTGCGCCTAAAATCCTCAATGAACTCTTTGGCCATAGTAGCAGCAATAACAACCACTAGAGGAAAAACATTGCTGACAGCTGAGTAAGGAGAGACCGGAAGGAAAGACAAAACTCCAACCACTAGGAAGTAAAAATTGGCAACCCTCCTGAATTGCTCAAACAAGGACTTGGGGAGGAACGTGGCCCATGTATACTTAGTAGTTCTGACATAATTGTCACCATAATTCAGAAGACTCGTCATAGCACGTTCTGGGTCATTGCAATAGACTTTCCTTGAGAATCCAGGGCCTCCTATAAGTGAATGTTCATCTTTCATGGAAGCTTTCCCACACGAGAATGCATGGATTCTGCCAAAGTGGTGCTTCCTCCTTCTTCCCCCAGCCATTTCTCCAATATACAGAAAGCTTACAAACTTATATGATTCACTTTAATGATCCTCAAAAACCAGATTCAGCCCAAAACTTCTCACACAAAGAAAACCAATGGAATGGAACCAACCCAAAAACCAACTTCTGCTATACAAAAAGAAAGAGATTTATGCACAGTGAGAAATATTGAACTCTTAAACCATAAAATATATGCTTTTTTTTTTTTTAGTTTTTCTGTTCTGTACAAGAAAGATGTATAGACCCAGAAATGAAAAAAAGACACATTCCCTTCCTAGAGCTGAAAGGTATAACTTTTATATGAAACTGTGGAGAAACAAGGCAACCTTTGATTGAGTTAGAAGCTGAAATCTGACTGCCACCCCAGTTTGACTCTTCTTGGTTAACAAGACTTTTCAACGTGCATATGGGAATGGATCTTTCTCTTTCCCTTCAGTACTCCTTTTTGAAGTTTCCACTAATCTAACAAAGTAATATTTTTCTGATATTATTATTATTTTCTTGAGGAATATTATACATAATAAGTATGAAACATTGAAAATGTTGTAGAAAATTAAAAAAGGACCATTTCATTACATGACAAAACATGTTCATAATTTCGAATGTCGTTTTCAACTAAAACAGCTTCCTAGCAATTTAATGAAACTCAATCTAAATGCCAACTGTAAAATAAAATACTGAGGCGCAAGCCACGGCCTCTAGAAAGTCCGTTTTCTAGAAAACAAGGCATAGAATAGTTCTTTAGATTTGGAATGAAATATTTTAAGAATTAATTTAATTAACAAATAAAATAAATTGTAATAAAAATTTATTTGATTTTAATTGTTTTTTAATTTTAGCTGTATATACATAGAATTGGATCAAATACAGTAAATTAATTTTATAGTTTGAGTTAATATTTTCCCCTTAATGATTGATTTATTAAGTCACTTAACATATTTAAATCGAGGTAATAAAATAAGTTACTAATACATAATTAATTCAATTCATCTTTAATTAACATGCTTAAAAAGTGAAAATTTAATTTATAAATCAATTCAAAACATCATCAGAAACATATTTATGCAGTTACTACAGATAAATTATTTGCATTTACTCCAAAAACAATATCGTTTTAGTATTGAAATATTAAAAAATCATAATTATAAAGACTATATAACTCTGAAATAAATTAAAATTACAAAAAAATGACGTTATTTTGAGTTAAATGTAAATAACTTATCTGTATTAATTACAGAAAAAATGAACCCATAAAACATTCTAAAATATATATATATATATATATATATATATATATATATATATATAGGATTTAGTGTGTATTTTTATAAAAGATATAAAGTTGTATTCTTTTAGCAGTTGTAATTATATACAATAGATAATATATAATTATAATATTAAAATTATTATTTTTTATGTTAGCAAATAATTTTTGAAAAGAGAAAAAAAAAATTGATATTATAATTATGTATTAAAAAAATTAACCTTCGGCAAAACTTTTTCCTACATATCTATAATGAAAAATATTGTTTTCATGTTGTATGAGATAATTTGTAATTGTCAACACACAAAAAAGTATTGTTTGAAACAAATTATCTCATGCAATATCAAAAAAAAAATTCCCATCTATTATGTGATGATTAGAATCAGAGTTGAACAAACACAAGTAAATGAAAGGTAGGGGGAAAATTAAAAAGTGATATTAATTTAGAGACAATAATTATCTCATGCAACAGAGACAAAGTAGTGAAATCCACATTACTTTTTCTTTTTTGTTTTTTTAAAAATGTGAACCCCATTATCTTGTCTCATAATTATCCCAGGTATCATGAGATTAATAAATCTCTTAATTTAGATGGTGGCTGCTGATAAAAGAATAGAAGAAAATGATGCAGTAGGTAAGATGCTGAGAGAGAAAAGGTAGATGTAAATCCAAAGATAACAAAAGTCTATGATGTGATTTAGGTACAGAAATAGGTTGAGGCTGCGTAGCGAAGATGCTCTTCATGTGCTCTTACCTCTTATTATTATTCAAATTAACAACGTGGAACTTTTTTTGTTTGAATAACAATGGATTTATCTGCTTTAGCCATTTGGATCATGATTGGCGTCATTTGAGGCCTTATCCCGGAAGTTCATTTAAAATTGACAGGATTTTAAATAAAATTAAATCCTCCTTAAAAAAAATCAGTTTATACGACAAATTAGCTGTCAGTTAATTCTTATAAAATCCTTTGTAGACAAACATAAAGACTCAGAGATAAGATTTTATTTTCACCCTTCCACTCCTTGAAATCTAAAAGTAATATTTATATAGGTCTAATGTTTTTAATTATTGGAGACAATTTATTTCTTGGAATTGGAAGAAAGATATTCTTGTAATTCTAATTTATCTTGAACTTATATTAGTTTTTGTTATTTTATTTTTTTCAAGAAATAAAATTATTTTCAATAACTTTAAAATGATATTATTTTGGGAATTTTGATTCTCTCCCGCAATATGAATTTTCTAAAAATATTTTGCTTTTTCTTCTCAAAATCCTAAATAAAATAATATCATTTTGAAATTGTACTAGATAACTTTATGGAAGAACACTAAATAATATATATATATATATATATATATATATATGGCTTTATTTTTCTCTTAACGTCAGCAAATAAATTCAAAGAATCATACAAAAGGTGGATAAAAATATTAAATACGAAAAATCATAATCAATTAACAATGTAAGATTTATTATTAAACATCCAGCAGCCAGAGAAATAATTTTACCATATATATACATATATATATATATACATATATATATATATATATATATAATGTAGGATTCTTTTACACTGGTGATAAAAAAAATTAACATCTCATCTGAGACAGTTAGATCAAGACATATCAACGGTATCACATGCTTAAAACCAAAGTCGTTGGATCAAAGCAATATTCAAATAAGGTGTTAAATTTTTTATTTGATATCAGTATCAAAAGATCCTCTATATATATATATTAATTTTTCCTAAGTTATTAAAAGAACAAAAATGCTTTCTTAATGATCCTCTAAACAAACAAAAGAGGATACATGATACATACATCATTATGGTCTTTTAAAGTATTGATGCTCCAACTGATATTGAATGTGGGAATAAAATTATAGTGAGTTTTATACAAATTTTTGCATAATTGTGAATATGAGTACGTCAATTACAACTTTTGTCTTTACATACAAAAATTCATTTATTTATTTAGATTAAAATGGGCAAACCACACCTGGTCCATGCAACAAGTTTATGACATATTTAGGGAAAAATTATAAAAAGAAGAAAGAGAGAGTACGACGTATTTTAAATAGAATGGCATTATCTACGATTCTTTAAAAAAATGCTTGGAACTACTTGATTGGGTGAATGAAATATAAAATATTAAGCTTATGTCAGCTATGACTTCACCTTTACATTAATTGTGGCAATGTCAATTGTCAACTCTCATTAGAGGATGATAAATTATCCTCGTCACACATCGACCATACAGTCCTTTTATATATATACTATATATATACATTGGGAGTAATATTTTTTTATGTTGTAAAAAATAATTTTATTTCTTATATACATATAAAAAATGTGTGTAGTCTATGTGAGGTTATGTAAAGAGAAGAGAGGAAAAAAATGGATTCCATGTATTTATATATATATATATAAGAAATAAAATTATATCTTACAATATAAAAAGGGGAATGATAGTCTCATGCTACTAAGATATCTATCTCATGTCATACATCCATATAATTTTGTGCCAATTTTTTTTTTCTTTTTAAATTGTGGATCCCACATATTTGTATCATCTATATAAGAGTACTATCTCATGTAACATGAGATTAGTAAACCTCGTATAAAAAATATTAATCTCATAATCTATATGTTATTATATAATATAAGATGAAGATAAGAAGAATGTCAGTTTTGCTTGCAAAAGAAAGTTCAGAGGATCATGGACACCCATCGAGTTTCATGAAAGAACTGAACAGAAGAATTATATGGATTCGTATTATATTGACAGCTGACCATGACACTTTCAACATTTGGAAAAAAAAGAAAAAGGAAAAAAGAGTAGATCCATTTTACGCGGGAGACTAAGGATTAAAAAAAGTGTATTATCTTTGAAAGGAGCGCATTTATTGTGGACCGGGGGCAAGATGGTCCCTTCAAAAAATAAAAAATAAAAGGGAATAAGGGAGAAAATATAAGAAAAGAGAGAGGTATAAGAGTATTTTTTTTACTCAAAAAGAAAAAGGACTACAAATTTTTTTTATACTCCTGAATTATGTTAAAAAAATCCCTTTGAAAGCAAGCCTTTGACTCTGAGGCTATCTTCTTCTTTAGTTATTTTAGTGTTATATATAATCTTATTAAAAGAATTTAACTAACTCAGTAAATCTTTTGTAAGTGAATATAAGAACTTGAAATTTAACCACTGAAATTTAACCACGGTTCCGATATGATAAATTGAGATGTCTAATATAATAGTTGATATACTTATGTTGGATCTGTATGTTCTCTCTTAAGTATCTATAGAAAAGATATCTTAGAGATCAGCGGATCACTGTGCATTATATTAAATGGCATAACCAAAGGGTGAGATATGTGTACACAAATAATTAAGAGAGAGAATTTAGAATATATGTATCTTATTGGCTCAACCCCTTATTTATAAATGAGTTACATGACAGGGGTAAATTTTGGGCCTATTAAGAATATTTGAGGTCTAGTTGTTAATCTATTATTGTTGTCTGTCATAATAAGATTAATATAATTAAGGAATATTTTTTTAATTTCCTCTTAGTCGTTAGCCTTTTTTGGGCCTTCTAGATGTGGGCCTTTGTCAGGTCCATAACAGTTGCCCCCAGTCCGGTAATCTCATTGTTCAGGCTAGCGGGTTGTAATAGTTTTCTTGCATCTCGGACGCTTCTAGGTTCATCCTTAATTGGCATCTTCTTGGCTTTCTTAAGTCGCTCTACATGCCTTCCTTTTGTGGGGGGCTTGAGCCCCTTTTGTGTTGTGAAGTATGTTGTTGAGTTTGTTCCCGTCCTTTTTTGATCTGGTAGTTTGAATTCCGCTTTCTTTCTCTTGTTTACGGAGTTGAATTCTTTCGCGCTAAAATTAGTCTGGTTTTATTGTCGTGACTTTGATTTCAGAATGGCTTCCTTCGCCAAAAAACTTAAGTTTGGCGAAGAGGTGTTCACTTTTTTAATTTTGAGCCTGACTTCTCTTACCGTGGCCTTTTAATTTGAGCCTCGCTTCTTTTGCGATGGCTTTTTTTAGGCTAGCTTTTTTCGCCGTGGCCTTTTTTATTTGAGGTCAGTTTCTTTCGTCGTGGCCTTTTAATTTGGACCGCCTTTTTGCC